TGTAACTTATATTTAGTTTTTTTGCGCTTGAAACGTGCGCTAGAAAAAATATTTCTTATCACCACTCAAAAACATGAATAATTAATGATTTTATAATTACAGAAGCAGATAACATGCAGAAAACCGATAGCAGCATGCTGAAATAATTGTTTGCATAATAAAATACTTTGAAAGCGCTACGAAAGGTAGGAGTGCAGACACATCAGAGATCATACCGTTTTTTGACTATGCTTGGGACAAATCAACTGAAATCAAAACTGTTGTTGATGAATTTAAAACTGATTTTAAAAGTCATTTTCATAAAAACAAAGATAATGTTCGTCTGAAAATTGTAATGATGCTCAAACCCCGTTTTAAATGAAATTTTTTAAAGAAACAGATCATGGTATGTTAAAGGAAATTTTATATCAAGGGTACTACCGCTTTCATTTGGAGTATTGATACTCTAAATGAAAGCGGTAGTACCCTTGATATAAAATTTGCTTGCTTGTTGTAAATGATCATTTACAACAACCAAAAGTTGATTTTGTTAAAGACTCTGATCGTGATGGTCTAATCAAAAAAGAAGCATGGACATATACAGCTCCTTAGACCTGATGAGTATAAATGAAAATGCTTCACAGAAATGTGAAAACACTGATGAAGGGGAAGTCATTGTGTTGCTAAACTTGTTCTTTTGAGTTTAGCGTGAATACGTTACTTCATACTCTGAAACACGTTTCACTTTTTTGTTGCTATAATGGCGTATATATGTTTATACTTTTGGATTAAATAAATAAAAATCGTCTTAACTCGAACAAACATCTGATCAGTGACGGATCCAGGATTTTTTGGTGTTTGAGATGACCATATAAAGTTTAAACCCCCCTCAATTTGAGGGGGCTACAAATTTTATAAGGTCATAACTTTTGAACGCTGAGAGATAATACGCTGAGAGATATGAAACTTAAAATTTATCGATGAATATAAAATGAGAATAGTTCAACAGACAATTTATTAACTTGTTGCCCCTTACGTTTGGGGGGGGGGGGAATAAAGTCAAAGAGCTTTGTCGTTCCCAGCCTCCAATTATCGCAATTTTTTGCAAAACCTCATTATTTGACATAAGTATAAACATACAAATGTTTGGAGTTTGCTTCATGTCTGGAAGTTAGGTATCTTAAACACCAAAAACTCCTGGATCCGTCACTGCATCTTATTAGTCGCTTTAGTCAAACATTCGTTAAGTCGAAGAATTTTTCTTAGTCCAAGTGCTGCGATTATATCAGTAAATGAGCAACTTATATCACAATATGTTATTGTGGACACGGGTAAAATGCGGAAATGTGGAACTTTTTAAAGAGCAAAATTAAGGAATAATGTGCAAAAATTTTCTTGTAACTGTAGCCTTATCTTTGCCCCAACCCAAACCCCCAGTCAATGTAACGTCACTCCTTTGCATGTTCTTCCTAAATCAGCCTATTTATATACTTAAGCCTTTAATTCTATTTCCGCATACTACCTGATAAAAGGTTTCGCACTTTACCAATGCCTTATTGTTGTTAGCAATTTAAGCAAATCTAAAACACTATCGACATTTTTAATTTCCGTTTTGAAATGTTTTCTCGTTAAGGAAAAGACGTTTGCTAATTGCAAAAACATTGCATTTTTTTTAAAGCGAGTTATAAATTACTGTTTAAGTAAAATAGCTTATTATCGTACTTTGCGTAAGGTTAAGACGTCATATTAGCCACTTAATAAAATTGTATATTATTTTATTATTTATGAATTTATGTAATTTGCTTTAGTTTTTTTGATATAAATAGAAAAAATGTTGCTCACTATTTGAAGTGTCAGACGAGATTATTATGATAAAAGATAAAAAAATCTAATCTAAAAAATTATTATTAAAGAAAAAAAAATCTAAAAAAAAAAGTGGGCACATCTTAGATGCAAAATAATACCACACAGAAATAGTTTCAGTTTGTTAGATTTGAAGTGTCACTTTTATTTACGATTTGAATAGTGTCAGTTTTTTTGCTCTAGAAATAAAACATGAATGTGTTTTAACTTTTTGACAAATTCAATGACAATATAATTAAAGTCCATGTTCTTTATGATGTCTCTTTCAATACTAATAGGAGCCAGGTTAGTGAGCTGTTCTTGAAGCATTAAGGTAAGCAGTCAATTTTAGATCAGTTTTATTTTAAAAAACGATCTTTTCGCCGAGCAGTTTGTTATCATCAGTATAAAGTAAATAAGGAAAGCAATCTTAACATTAGGTGATCCTGCACACCATTCTGGCGTCTTTAAAATGTGATAAATAATTTCAAAAAGAAGATGAATCCAAATCGTTCTTTTAAATTGCAGTAATCTTGCTTCCGACTGACTTGTGCTGTATGTCCCTGATTTGCCATGAATATTTCAAATTTATCAATAGGTGATCTTCTTTCCTAGATCTAAGATATTATTTCCTTTAGCACACAATTAGCACCAACTCTTCACAACCTTTGGATGATATATTCAAAATTAACAGTTTTGAGCTGATAACCCAAGTAGGAGCCATTAGTTAATCAATTTTTAGCTGCTAACACATTTAATTAAGAAATTAAACGCTATTTTTATTTAACATTAACTATTTATAAACTTAGGCTTAAAACTATTTTCCTTATTATATGAGGGCCCCTTACTTGCGGAGCCCCAGGGCTCTGACCAAAAAAAACTTATAGTAAATCCGGCACTGATAGCACATATTGTTAATGTTGATATGTTTACATACATGCATTTTATTTTTTAGATTGACAATTTAAAAAAAAATAATTTTTTTTCAATGATTGAGTTGGGCGCGTAATAACTCTACCCCCCCTCCTTCTCCGCGGCTAATTTAGCTTTCCTTCGTCTAACCACCAAATGTGCACACTTGTTCTAGGTTGCTGTCATTATATATTTGTATTTAAGTTAATTTGTTCTAAAATAATTTTAACTGACTTTTTTTTTCTGGCCAAAAACAAAAATTAAATTTTGTCCGTCTTAAGTTCAAAAAAAATTTTGTCATTAATACAAGTTGATTTTTAATGAACTCCAGTGGTATTATAGTTTTATGATAAGTATTATATTTGTTATTAGTTTTTTAATAAGTATCATAATTAGACACAGATTAGAATTGTTTAGTGCCTTCCTATACCAACTTTTGTACCTTCACTAAAAATTTTGACTCGCTGAAGGGCTTCCAAATATTACCCTTACTTCTTGGCATGGCTGCTAATAAAAATTAAAATAAGAAGCAAAAAATAAAAGTTTACGAAATAGTTCTGCGAAATATTACATTAGTTTTCCACATAAAACTAATGCAAGAAGAGATTTTATTTTGTCTTGTTTTGCAAAATAGCGAGATATCTAGAAAAAATGCAGATGCTTAAAATAGATTTGAAGTCAATCCTTTTATGAAAAAAAAAACAAAAAAAATTCACGAAAACAAAAACTTATAAAAGTTATTAAAACTTTTAAAAAATTTTGATAAATTTTACGTTTATCCGGAAAAAGAAAGAATATTCACGTAAACATGAGTAGTTTAAATTTTAATTTTTCCGAAACAAAACTATGCACGCTCAAGTAATTATGATTCCCTTCCCGTTTTATAGCAGAATAGAAAATTTAAAAGTTACATTTATTCTAAATCTGTTTGAGAAAAACCTTTTATTTTAAACAAAGCAAGTATTTATATCAACAACTTTCTTTTCTTATTATCATAGTAAAATTTTTCAAGCTAACGTTTTAATTCTGAACTTATTAGTCATAACCAAAAAAATATTTTTCGACACAAAAAATTGAACTGAGTTAATAAAGTTCACTGTCAGTCTTTATTCGGATTTAAATAAGCATGCAGTAGCGTTATTTTATATTTCAAATTCCGCACATTTTTTTTTTTTTTTTTTTTTGTTTTAAATCACCTATATTTTAATTTGTTTTTATTTTATATACTTTTTTTTTTGCATTTTTGTTAGCTATTTTGTTTTTCCCCTCTAACTTCGCCATTCTTCTTTAACTTTAAAATATTTATTAACACTAAATAATCATACAGATCTATCATGAAAAATATACATGAAGTCTCGCAATATAGATACCTGACGTCTCACAGTATGGATATCTGACATCTCACTATATGGATACTTAAACTTTTATGGTATGGATACCTGACGTTTAACAGAATGAATACCTGATGTCTAATTATATGGATACTTGACGTCTAAACTAAGATTCAATGCTCTATCTTTTCGTTAAAGAAAACTAAAAATCGTATACAAATTTTACTTTTAATAAAAGAAAGAACGCTCACGCAGAGACTATATAATAAAATAACCGGCACAAAACTGCAAAAAATTACAAAGAACGCTCAATGCAAGCATATATTCTTTATCCTAACCTGTCACCAAAAAAATTTCTTAAAGAAGAGATTCATCTGGCTGACTTATAAATTCAAAATTACGACTAATTATTTAGAACTAAAAAGAATTAATTAAAATACTTTTAAATAAAAAATTAATATAAAATATTATTTAGGTTTTTCGTTGTTGGAAATAATAAAATAATAAAACATAATAAATTTTTTAACGCATCCATTCACAAGAGAATTTAAAAATTGATTTATATTAGTAAATCAATGCTAAGTTATAGCTGTTGCTGTGATACGACTCTTCCACAAGCGGCCAGATTGTTAGTAAATACAACAAAAAAATTTACATATAAGACAAAATTTAAGAAAATTTAAGAATAAAAAAAGTAAAAACCAATATACATGAGTTTATTAGTTTTTACTTTTCATATAAACCAACTAATGTTTAACATTTTTTAAACTAACAAAATTAAAGGTTTGAAAAATCAAAAAGAAGCCGATATTTCAAATTAAAAGGAAGCTAAAGTTAAGAATCTAATGAATCAAACCATTCAAGGCATCAATAAATCTGAAGCAATTCAAGCATTCACTAATTCTAAATTTATCGATTCCTATCATCAAAAAATCAAAAAGAACATTTATTATTAAACATGAATCATTAGGTTTATTTCATTTAAAAGTTTTTTTTCGTGTTAAGGATCAGAAAAAGCAGAAAACAGCTAAAATGAAGATTTCAAAATTTTTTGAACTAGCATCCTTTTGTATTTTCGCAATAAATATTTTACCAGGTTCTTTTAATACTTATATTACAACGTTGATGTCAATTTTTTTTTATTAATGTTTTGTATTATTTCATCGATAAAATTTGATAACAGATAATAATTTTTTTTTAATTTCTTCTTATTTTCAATCATCTTAACTTAATTAGGATTATGTCAATTACAATGTTACAACGATACCACATCACAAATAATGAATTGCACTGGTAACGCTAACATTACTGTTTGCTTAACCATGATACAATTTCAAAATGATACTGCTATCCAAAAAACCCGCACGTGTGGTATGTCAACAGATATTATATGCAATTCTACAGGATGCGACACAAGTAACAATGTAACAACTACCTGTCGGAATTGCTGTTCGACTAGTCTTTGTAATAAAATGACCGTCATAAAAGATTTTAATCCATCTCAGCCAACAACTCCAAATCCCCCTGTTTCAGATGCCGCAAAACCGGTGGCCGGCTTGTTAATATGGTTGGTTTGTGCTCCGTTTATATTAAAAAACTTTATGAGTTAAAATATGTATTTTATTATGCAGTTGATGTTGTTCAATAATTTTATTTCATTTTATTTTAATTTTATTCATTTTATTTTGCACATTTTTTTTTTCTTCAGTTCAGTTTAAATTTTACATCTATATAAATTTTAAAATAGCTAACTTTAATTAGGTTTTAAAATATTTAACTAAGGTCTGAATAAATTTTTATCTTCAAAAGATATGAGATTATGTCTGTAAATATATGTCAAACAACTATTGTATTAACAAAACGAATTAATTAGGTATTACTGTTATTGTAAAAATTTTATCGTTAAAATATTTGAGGATAAATATAACTTTTCTTACTTCTGGAGTAAACGCATAAATATTACCATCTGCCCTATACAAGCTCCCAATGCCGATTACTCCAATGCTTGATCGAGGTCTGATTAAATAAGAAAAGAAAGTGTCTATTTAAAACGAAGATTAACGCATTTTTCTGCAAGCACGGAAAAATAAAAAATAAAAAATTTTACCTTCCAGACAATCCCAGCTTTCTGTTTTTCCCTGTAAAAAATCTCTTTTGTTAATAACTTTTTTATTAAGTTTACTAAAAAAGTTTAGAATTTAAAAAATGACCAGTAGCTGTATTCACACTGAAATGACTGTTACTCAAAAATTATTTTTTTTTTTTACTAAAATAAAAAAAAAAAATTAAACATAAAAATAAAATTTTGACTAACGTAAGGAAAATGTGAATACGGATACCGAGAACATAAAGCATATGATTGGAACCGTCAAGAAAGAGAGAATCAGGAATAGGTTAGGGCAATGTTAAGTAGTTTTTAACGAAAATAAGGGATCTCTACAATAGTGTGTCAGACTTGCATACTTTTATTACCCACACATAGAGCAGTTTTGTTATTTTTGAACCTGCTAAACTTAATTTTTTACTTACCCAACTTGCAACTAAACCCTTCCCAAAGCTTTTTTTATAAAAACCAAAAAAATATATGCTTATCGTCCATAAGTTATCTTGCTAATACAAAAAGCAAGTTTTAATAATCAATGCGAATATTGGGAATTTCAGAACAACGTAGAGAGACTGCTTCGTAATCCTAATTTAAAACAATTCATAACGAGCATTCTTTAGAGAAGAATAACATTACTAAAACACTTTTATAAAAGTGTTTAGAAAATATATAATTAAAAAATAATAAAGAACTTAATAAATAAACTTAATAAACTTATGCAGAAATAATGAAATTGTTTATATTGACATCATATTCATACACAATCTTCAGCCTTTTAATATTTTATTTTTGCTCATTTAATTCTTTCAAAGAAAAAACTGCCAAGCAAAAATATAACAATTTATGATTTTATCGCCATAGTAACGCCTATTTGATAAGTAACGCGATAGTGGAGTGGTGGTAGAGGATTTGATTCGTAAGCTAGAAGTTCTGAGTTCATTCCCCACCGCGCCCCTGGAACCACGCTCAAATTGTTTTTCTGCACAGAAGTTTTGTTCCTCAAGATTCGTCTATGAGAGTTAAAGAGTTGAATGAGAGAGGTAAAAACAATTAAATTAAAAAACAACTAATGCCTTATTTATTCAAATTAATATTATGTCATGATTTAAATGGTATAATATTCAATTTTTAATAAATTCAGATAACTTTGAATGTTCAGAGATAAAACCACATGTCTACCTCATCTAACCTATCTAGTAGTAAACCAAGCATTCATTCATTTTTATTTATTTCGTTTATTTTATAATTTTAAATCATTTATCTTTATTTTTGTTACCTAGAACTAAAAATAAATGACCTAAACTTCCACAAAACTTGTCAACTTCTGGGATGACATTTAAACTTTTTTTGCATTTAGGCTAGAAAACAATAGGGGAAAAAAACTTTGTAAAAAAATATAACAAAAAAAAAAAAAATCATTTAAAAAAAAAAAACAGTAAAAAGAAAGAGATACTTAAAAAAGATTTTTAAAAGACTTAAATACACAGCACAAATACTTTAAAGTAATTCAAGGTATTCATTAAATGGCGTATATTTTCACAATTACGCATTTAAGTTGAACAAAAGGTTATATATACAGCTTTACTGGTTGATATTCCTGTGGATGTCGCCAAGTAGAACCTTAATATATATATATATATATATATATATATATATATATATATATATATATATATATATATATATATATATATATATATATATATATATATATATATATATATATATATACATACATATATATATACATACATATATATATATATATATATATATATATATATATATATATATATATATATATATATATATATATATGAATATATATATATATATATATATATATATATATATATATATATATATATATATATACATACTTTACTGGTTGTTATTCCTGTGGATGTCGCCAAGTATAACCTTAATATATATATATATATATATATATATATATATATATATATATATATATATATATATATATATATATATATATATATATATATATATATATATACATACTTTACTGGTTGATATTCCTGTGGATGTCGCCAAGTATAACCTTAATATATATACATATATATATATATATATATATATATATATATATATATATATATATATATATATATACATATATATATATATATATATATATATATATATATATATATACTTTTTTTAAAAATGTTATTTTTTATGTTTACTTTTGCACTACTAGATAATTTAAAAGTATTTTGGTAAAAATGCTTTGATGAAAATCATAAGAACAATAAAAATGCTAAAGTGGGCAAAACTACATAAAAAATGGACCATCAATGACTGTAAATGCGGACATATCGAAGTTTTAAATCTTTGGTTTCAAGATAAGATTGATTGTCTGGGAAAAAAAATCGTTGAATTTATGCCAAAATAGTATTTTTGTAAAATATAAAACATGGTGAATGTAGTTTTAAGATATGGGGTTGTTTTGGTTAGAATGCCACAGGTTTTGTGAAAATAGAGGGAGTAATGACAAAAGTAGTTTACTTGTACACTTAACAAATTATGCTACACTTTTGGAAAGATAGTTTAATGAGAAGCTATTCATTTTTTCAAAAGAAAATGACTTGAAGCATAAATCTAAAACATATTTTTCAAAAGCTTGTTTAAGTTATTTGACTGAGTTTGAGAACGATTGAATACTATATAGAATGATATAGCCTACCCAATCACAAGATCTCTCCTATCAGATCATAATGGAGGAATTAAAAGTAAAGTCAAAAACTAATGCCAAATGATGCCAAAGATGTGGACAAAACTTATTAGTTAGTGGCATAAAATTGACTTCGACAAATTGGATAAGTCGTTAAGTAGAATGCCAAGAATATGTATGGCGATTATTGTCGCTAAGGGTGAATAAAAAGCAAGTAAATTATAAATTCATCTAATCGGCATTATATTAAATTTTTTGTAAACCTAATAAAAAAGATAACATATAACCCATGTAGACTTTGCTTAGAGTTTCTTTCCCAATAGTAAATAAAATTATGATATCTTATATGGAAAAGTACAACAATTCGAATAATTATGGATTGTTGTGTATATATATTAAGGTTATACTTGGCGACATCCACAGGAATATCAACTGCTGCTAAAATCTTTAGATCTACATGATTTATATGATGGTTTTGGACAGAATTCTACATGTGATAAAAACTTTTCTTTAGCATTTGTGTCTAAAATTTTAAAGAAGTATGAGGAACTTAAACCAGATTTTGTGAATGTATAAAAACAATTGCTCAATAAACTTTTGAAAAGGTATGAGGAACTTTTGAAAGGTATGAGGAACTTTTGAAAGGTATGAGGAACTTTTGAAAGGTATGAGGAACTTTTGAAAGTATGAGGAACTTTTAAAATGGTATGAGGAACTTTTGAAAGGTATAAGGAACTTTTAAAATGGTATGAGGAACTTTTGAAAGGTATGAGGAACTTTTGAAAGGTATGAGGAACTTATGAAAATGTATGAGGAACTTTTAAAATGGTATGAGGAACTTTTGAAATGGTATGAGGAACTTTTGAAAGGTATGAGGAACTTTTAAAAGGTATGAGGAATTTTTGAAAAGGCATGAGGAACTTACAGCAGATTTTGTGAATGGAATAAAAAACATTTCTTAATAAATTGGGTTGGATAGACGACATGAAATTTTTGTACCATCTAACATGAGTATTTAGATACTTTGAGAAATATGGACATTTTCAACTGATTAGCCTTCTAAAAATTCATAACATTTATAATGCAAGGTGAAACTCAAGAGCCAGTCTAACCATTCTTGCATTTATTCTCATACCTACAATAAAAAAAAGTTTGAAGATGGTATGCAGGTTTGAAAAAGATATGCAGGTATGAAGAAGGTATGCAGGTTTGTTTTATATGACTGAGAAAACTAGTGATTTACAGATCAATTGTACAATAAAAATGACTTCAAAAACTTGAAAGAAAAATATTGTATCTATACAAAAAAATATTGCAGCCATTAAAGAATCACTAGAAGCAGAAACCACCAGTAACTAAATTGCCTTTATACTGTCTGCAAAAGAAAGGAAAATGTGCAATTAAGATGTATTCTAAACAATAAACAGTAATAAAACTTTACAATATTCATTGTACACAGATTACAACATTTGTGAGCTTCACTGTTTGATACATAATGTTGTGTAATATATACAACATGGAAAATGTACTTCATGTTTTCACAATGACTTTTTCAAAAAAAGACATTGTGAAAACAAATAACATTTCATTTAACTATTGTTACCTAAAGTTCATTTTTTTGTTTGTTGTTTTAAAACTGCCTTTAGTGGAGCAGTTTTTAGTGGAGCAGTTTTTAGTGGAGTAGTTTTTAGTGGAGCAGTTTTGAAATATAATAACACACAGTGGCTCACAGTGGCTGGTGAACTTTAATTCAGATAAAACTCAATTTTTTTCAGCCAATCGTTATCGCAATAATTAACACCTTCCTATATTTATGAACGGTAATGTACTCGATGAGTCTCCTACCCTTCATCTTCTAGGATTAACTCTTACTTCCGATCTTTCTTGGAAACCTTATATCAACCTTATATCTGCTAAAGTTGCTTCTCTTTATCGAGCTCGTCACTTTCTTACTCTGGATTCTATTCTCTATCTCTATAAATCTCAAATCCGGCCTTGTATGGAATACTGTTGCCATATCTGGGGCGGATCTTCTAATGATGCCCTTTCTCTTTTAGACAAGGTGCAAAAACGCATTGTAAACATAGTTGGACCTGCTCTTGCAGCCAACCTTCAACCTCTGTCACATCGTCGTAATGTTGCTTCTCTTTCTCTTTTCTACAAATACTATAATGGGCACTGCTCTAAAGAGCTAGCATCTCTTGTGCCATCTACTAAAATTCATTCTCGTGTTACTCGTCATTCAATTAAGTCTCATCCTTTTTCTGTTACTGTTCCTAAGTGCTCCAAAAACTCTTATTCGTCTAGTTTTTTTCCTCGAACATCAGTTCTTTGGAATTCACTTCCTTAATCTTGCTTTCTTGATTCATATAATTTGCAATATTTTAAGTCGTCTGTCAATCGTTATCTTGCTCTACAATCTTCATCTTTTGTCTTCCAGTAACTTCCAACACTAATTAGTGGTTGCTTGCAGCCTTGTTGGAAGCGAAGATAATTAAAAAAAAAAAAAACTCTCTTTTTTAGGGTATAAGGAAGAGGAGGGGGGGGGGGGTTAGTGAGTTTTAAACGAAGAAAAAGTTATTTAAAAAGCAACAACAAGAATTTTTTAATTAATTAAACTTTTTTTTTAATTTATATATAGGATAACAGCTAATTACTTTCCTTTTTTTAAGCTTTTCAAAACGGTTCAACAAAATATGAATTTTTCAAAGCAAAATATGTATCCAAAAAAGGGCATTTCAAACCTTGTTTTAATAGGGCACAAAAAAAAATCAAGGAAATACCTAAACGACTGTAGATTTTACTCAAACATCTAGCTGGAAGGATTCTGATGGGCTCTGCGTCTTTTACAGTTTGTGAAATAACACCATTTTTTGTAAGCAGCTCTTTTATTTCTTCATCTTCAGCAATCAATGCCACTGCATAAAAGTTTTAAAATTAAATTTAAAAAAATAAATAAAATAGATAAAAATTTAAAATGTAACCCAAAAATAAGAGCAACTGAAATTTTAAGAAATAATGAAAAATATAATTAATCAAATTGCAAAGAAAAAAAAAAATATGAATTAGTGTGATAAGCATTAAAAAAAAAAATCAAAATAATAAATAAACCAAAAAAAAAACTATAAAATAAACTATTTAGTTTAAAATATTTACTTAAACTAAATTATGTTAAGTCAATTTATGCATATGTATATATATATATATATATATATATATATATATATATATATATATATATATATATATATATATATATATATATATATATATATATGTATATATATATATATATATTTTTTTTTTACTTATATATATATATATATATATATATATATATATATATATTATATATATATATATATATATATATATATATATAAAGCAAAAAAGTAAAAAGTAAAAAGTTCCAGGTAACAAAAGAAAAACTATTCAAACTAAGATGAGTAAAATATATTTATTAGTTAACTTTTAACAAATATTTAAAATTTTTCTCTATCACAGAAGGCCTTTCATATAAAATCTTCAGCTGTTATGAGATTTACAAAACTGATGTACTTATGTGTCTTAAAATATTTTTTGGTTGGCATTGTGATAATACAATAGAAGTGTTTTCAAAAACTGATTTTAGTTTATTATCTAAAACAGACAGTTTCAAAATACTATGTAGAGTTGTTAACAAATTTTCAAAATTAATATTTGCAAAAATTGTAGTTACAAAAAGGTATAATTTTGTTAACCTCTCTTTTTTGAGGTGCTGGTCCCTGTAGTCGAGCTTTAAAAATTCCATTATTAATGATTTTTACTAAGTAATTGCATTGAACTAAAAATTCCTTTAGTTGTTGAAGTCTGATTTCCATTTTTGATGGATTAGACACAAAACAAATTATCCGTTTAGCTAATGTGAAAGGTATATTTTCTTTTGTATGTTTGGGGTGATGGCTATTGTAATTTAGATAATCATGGGAATTTGTAGGTTTATAAAAAAAATCTGTTTCAATAATGTTGTTATCATCTAGAATAACTGTTATGTCTAAAAAGTTTAAAGATTGGTACTCTGTGGTTTTCGTGAAATTTTAGATTGTTCTTCTGTATATTTGATATCGGGGTGTAAAGAATTAAGACACTTTAACAGCAAATTAACATTAATTGATTTTAATAAAGCGACAAAACCATCATCCATGTATCTTTTGAAATATTTTTGAATACTCTCGCATTCAATTTTATTGAAGAAATTTGGTAAAACTTTAGGAAATAATTTAACTTCCTCAAGATATCCTACTACTAAACAAGCATATGGTGAAGCCATTTTTGTTCCCAAAGCTGTTCCAATTAATTGATTGAAAAACTCATTATTAAAAGTAAAATTGTTGTTCTTTAAAATCGTATTATCCCAACGCCAACCAAAAAATATTTTAAGACACATAAGCACATCATCAAGCTTTAATAAGAAACCAGTTCTTATTAACAATGAATGCAAGGTTTTAAGATGTAAATCAAAACACTGTAAGCTATGTGCTATGTATCTTCAGTTTGTTAAACATTTTACAACATCATCTGGTAAAGTATGGTACATTAAAACTTCAATATCATGTAATTCAAAAAATATCATTTATTTTCTATCACGTGATGGATGTGATGGAAAAACAACATACATTGGTAAAACTAATAACCTAAGGTGCAGAACTAAGCTACACATCTACACCTGCAGAACAGGTATTGGTTCAGATAAATTTGATCAGAATGTTTTCAATTGCCATAAAAATGAACCTTTTTTTAAATTATTTCCTATGTTAAAACTTTCAAATGAGAATTTACTTCTTGTTTATGAAGCTCACCTACATAAACAGTGACATGACACAATAAACATATAAATAGAAAGTAATTATTATTACAATACTTTTAAAAAGATTTTCTTTCCAACAAAGATCAAGTTATACTAATTATGGTTAATTATAGTTTTTTTTTATATAAACCTTAATTACTTCCTTTTTTAACTTTTTATAGGAAATTCAATATAAAAAATTTTAATAGTTTTGTAAATCTCATACAAGTTGCTTCATGAGGATTTTTTTTATGTTTGCACAGCTCAATTTAATCAGGACTGTTTAGAATTTTTTTTTGCATTAATACGAAGCAAAAGAGGCTTGAATGTCAAACCAACAGCAATGCAGTTTAAATCAGCATTATTTTAATCAAAATTATTTAAAAAGAAACAAAAACTTTATGCATTACAAAATATTTCAACTGATTCAGTTTCACAGTAAATTAAACAGGTTTTGAAATTAATTGCAGATGATTTGATAAAGAAAGTTCAAGTCTGTCAAAAATGTGTACAAGTTCTTTCAAGTGTGACACCCTGTGAAAGTACCTTATTTAATTCTGATTCTTTTTTATTAATCCTACTTCATGAAATGGAAACTGTTTTTATAATGCAAATGAAACTTATATTAACTAAAAAAAATATTATACAACAAATTATTAAAGTAATAAAAAACGATTGCAATTTTACATTTCTTTGTGATGAATATATTGATCATGCTTTTCATTTAGAAGAAAGTTTAATCAGACACTATGTTTATACAATAATAACTTATTATATAAGGTTTTATAATCGTGATCTGGCACCACGAAACAAGACATGTAAAAACAAATTAGTTCTCATTATTCATGCTTGATTTTATTTTAATGATAATTCTTGAAACAAAATATTTATTATTTATTGTTGTTTTTTCTCTCAGTATTATTTACTATATATTTAGCATCTAATTAAGGGGTATATATTTAAACTAATATAAAACAAATGCAGTGATAAGATGATTAAAATGACTTATGCAAAACATGTTAAATTTACATCAAATTTACAACTGCGTCGACATAATAATGTTAGATGATATATAAATGCTATATATGCAATATTATGAAATAGTTTTAAAATTATTTTAATTTATAAAAGAAAAGTTTTTTTTATAGGAAGCCCTCTGTTAAAAATAATGCAAAGGTACAAATATTTCACTAAGAGTTGCGTTGTTTATGATTACTTGGTCCCGCAAGACATCCCACAATGCTTTGCGGCTAAAATTACATATATTTATCGGGAGTTGGCAGGCATTGATCTGTACCTAACTTCTATATTTCTTCCTGAAAAAAATAATTTAAAAACCTTAAAACTTTGCGTACATAGCTTTTTAAAAACTTCAATTCTAAATGACATAACTTTAAAAGTTATGAAAGTAATATTTTGATTAGCCCCTCCTTCACCCTTCGCTTGCCTCCAACAGAATTATATTGAAAATTTAAAGTTGGATTTGCAAGATTGTCAACAATGTAAAGTTTTTCTAAAAAAGACGTATTGAGATGTGATGTGTAAAGAGAACTAAATATAAAATCATGAGAACTGAGAAGAGGAAATGAGAACTGAGACGAAGCAATGATAGTTGAGATGATGCAATAAGAACTAAGATAATGCAATGAGAATTGAGATAATGCTATGAAAACTGAGATAATGCAATGAGAACTAAGACAATGCAATAAAAACTGGGATAATGTAATTAAAACTGAAATGATGCAATGAGAACTTAAATGATGTAATAAGAAATGAGATAACATGATGGAAACTGAGATGATATAATAAGAAAAATCAGTAATAGACCTAAATCAAAGTATTTTTTATGTGACATTTTTCACACAGTGCCAACTTTTAAACGTTTTCCAACAACAAAAATTTTACCCTATTGCACGCCTACCTTGTATAACTAACTCAGGCTTGGGAGACGTAATATAATGGCGGTTTAAGGGATCGAGTTCACCAACAGCAACAAAACCCTAAACAAATAATAAAAATTAAAATGGGTAATATATTTTAGATATTTGCTTTCAATTTAAAAATGCACCTCGTGTAATAACTTTCCCAAAATATATAGTGATTGTGTCCATAAATGTGGTAATCGATCACCACAGAAGCGAGTCTGGCTATGCGGAACCTCTTTTTCTTGTTCAATCTACACATAAAAAACATACAAATTAAATCATAATTCAATACCACTCACCCTATTAATTACAATCATACTCACTATGCTGTATAAAAATGCAAGATTTAAAACAAATTGTCACAAGCTTATTTATTATAAACTCTATTTCAAAATGTCAAAAAAAGTTTTTCTAAACATCCTAATATCAAATTTACATGAGAACATGAACAAAATGGTATTTTACCAATTTCGGATGTTTGCATTGAAAATAACCATGTTTTGTTGTTAATATTTACCATAAAACGACATATACTGGTCTTTTGACAAATTTTTTTAACTTTACTTTAATTAGCTACAAACTTGGGCTAGTTAAAACTCTTATTGACTTTTGTTTTAAAATTAATAATACCTGGTTGGGTTACCATAACGATATTATTAACCTAAAAACAGTCTTATTAAAAAATCAGAATCCAATTAAACTTATTGATAAATGTATAAACAACTATTTAAATAAAAAATTTGTTACATCTAAATTCAACAATAACAAGTTCTTTAATTACAAATATTTTAAGTTGCCTTATTTAGAATCAGAAATAATGGAAAGCTTGCATATAAAGTGGCAAAGGCCATGTTTAAATAAACAAGTCAATCATAGAATTCTTGTTTTGACTATTATGACGTTGATTTTATGAAAAAAATTTTTTTTAACTATTTGTACCTATTATGTTTTTTTTAATTGAGTTTTGAGACTGACACATTTTGTTATTGTATTTTAATGGTCTTTTTAACCCTTTGTTATGGATTTTGTAATAGATTTTTGTAATAAAATAGTTAATTTGTATCCCTTATAAAAAAGATTTTTTAATGATTTTAGCAAATTTTACTGATGATGAACTATGTAGTTCGAAACATGCATAACAAACATTTTTAAAGTGTTGTTAATTTTATTCAAATATTTATTTCAATTGTGCTTAACAGATCATTTGGCACTTTCAGATTGGCAGTTAGGTCGGCATTACCAAATGCCAACCCTAATTTCGAGGGTTGTATATATATATATATATATATATATATATATATATATATATATATATATATATATATATATATATATATATATATATATATATATATATATATATATATATATATATATATATATATATATATATATATATATATATAGTATATATATATATATATATATATATATATATATATATATATATATATATATATATATATATATAAAATTAAATTGTTTAATTAAAACATTATTATTTTTTATATGTTATTTAACAAACTAGCACAGAGATCACAAAATATAAGTTAAAAATAAATTTAAAAACAACCTTATCTTTTGGAACGTAAAATAACTCTGGAAGCAAATCTAGTTGATCTGCACTTTTTATGATTAATGGCTCAAGAAGTTTTAAATAGGTTTCAACCTAAAATAAAAGAAAAAATGTTTAATAGAAAACAAAGTACTGATAAGCAATATAGTATTAAGTGACACAAAGGTGAATGCTACAGAAATCATATCTGACCAATATTATTTTTTTAAATTAAAACAATTACATATAGATAACTTCTTTTTCAAGTTTTTTCAATTAATAGAAACTCATTCTGATCTAAAAAAAAATTCTAAAAAACATAGACTTTGAACCAGTATTTGTAAACTCTGAGGTACAACATAACAATGTACTACGGACCAGAAAACACAAAATTTAACAATCATTTAATCTAAAATTTAAAAACAAAAAATTAAAAAAATACTGTCACGATTTTAGTATACAAGACAACACTGCTTTGATAAACTAAAACACTAAAGAGCGCTTCGCAACTAATAAAAATGATGTTTTAAAATTGTCTAAACTTTATTTTGAACTTAATATAATTTTCTAAACAAAAGTATCAACCATGGATATACATATAATTATATTATACATATATATACTATATACATATAATTATATATACATATATATATATATATATAAAATATATACATATATATATATATATGCATTTGATGATATATATATATAACCTCTACGCATTTGATGATATATATGTAATCTCCATGCATTTTATACTTATGATAAAAACTTTTTCAAGTATGTTGTAATCTTTATAATGAGATAACAGATCAGTTTAATAATTAATAAATGTAAAATATCAGAATATTAACAGAGCTATGTTGTGCTCGAACAATGTTGTTGTTAACATTTTTGGTGTGATTAGTCCATATAAAAAAACCATTGCTACGACTTTGCTATTAAAAATGAGACAACTGCAAATACGACGAAAGAACCAACCTAAACAAGATAACAGTATTCCATACAGGGACAAATAAGAGATATATAGAAGTAAAAAACAGAATCAAGAGTAAGGAAATGACATGCACTAAAAAGTCAAGTAACCTTAGCAGATGTCTGTAGTGAATGATAATCCAACAAAATGTAGCAAGTATGAAGTAGAGGATTTATTGTAAGTGTTGTCATTCATAAGTGTTGTCATTTATCTATGTAAGAATATCAACAACATTGTAATGTTTGCAGAAGTTGTTTTCAACTGTTTTCAATTGTTTTTAAATTCCAAATCTTTATGTTCTCATTATTTGTTTCCTACCATTATTTTTCTAACATATGAAACTGCAAAAAACATTCTGATAACATTTTCATGAACTCTTAAAAGTATTTTAAAAAATTCAGATTCGTTTATTTTTAGAAATTTCTAATACTTATCCAAGAACTTTAAAAAATGGCAATTAGATTAATAAATAAATTTTTATCCTTTAAATATTTGAAAAGGTATTAGACCAACATGCTCTTTACAAAGAATTTCTGGTTTCACTGGACTTCTCAAATCTATTTCTGCAAAAACTTATTAAAAAATTACAAGGTTAAAAAATCATTTACTAAATTTATGTTGTTCAGAAATAAAGTTAGCAATTTATTGATATAAAAAATATCTGTGTTTGCAACATCTTTCTTATAATGCCTAAAACTTAAAAAATGGAAATGAAAAAAATAAAAATTAGGTATCCAATATCATAAAAATTATTCTTGAAAAGAACAAAAATATTGGTTCCAGTCTCCCTACATTTTTTTCAAACTAATATCTCACATAATCTTAAAATCTCTATGATAAAAAACTTCAATCTTCAAAATGATAAATAACAAATCTCAACCTACTATGACAAAAAACTCTAAGCAATTATCCAGAAGCTTTCAAAGCAACTAAAGTAATTCCTATACACTAAACTGGTCCTCTTCTTGAATACTCTAATTATAGTCCTCTTTGTCTTCTTTCAAATTTAAGTTTTCTGAAGAAATCATCTTCAAAATAAAGTTCTAAAAATAATTAACAGCATAATAAACTCTAAAACTTTTTTATCTAAAATTAAATTGTGAGGCATTTAACTTTTAAATTGTGCAGCATTTAACTTTTAAATTGTGCAACATTTAACTTTTAAATTGTGCAACATTTAACTTTTAAATTGTGCAATATTTAATTTTTAAATTGTGTGGCATTTAACTTTTAAATTGTGCGACATTTAACTTTTAAATTGTATATTTGTTAGGAAACAAAATCATAATAACCTACATTTTGCATTCACTAATTTTTTAATTATAGAGAATATTTTAAATATATTCCACAATCATTATTTTAATAAACAAATTCACTAGCAAGCAACCACTAAATCAAGTTTTAACAGAAAACAAAGAGAAAGAAAGCAGTTGACAAAAGACAAAAAAACTTTTATGAGTTAGGAATGAAGAAATATTGAGTTTGACTGATGGAATAAGTGATGCTTGCTTGAGCAGTGATCACGGTAGTATTTGTTAAAAAGAGAGATGCTTTGTAATGGATTGCATGGTTTAAAATAACTTTGCAACAGATTGCATAGTTTCCATTAGAGGTCAGTAGTGAATGATAACCCAAAAGGACATAAAATAAAAGACCAAGTAAGAGTGTTGTCTTGTCAACAATATTTTAATAACTATTAGCAGTAAGCAATGTTTTGTTTGGATTATTAAGTTACAAGCCCCAGCCCCAAGTCCCAAGCTGTCACAGAACTTTTACTGAAACAAAGTTGTTTTGCATGTTTTGCACATGCAAAAGTATCCAGACAGAACCAAAATATTAAAAGTAAAATTATTTCACCATTTTTGCATACGTAGAGTTTATAAGAGACTTATAATTAGGTTTCTTTTTCTGCTAAATGCATTTCATTGATAGCTCAGTGGTTAAGTGCAATGTCATCAGTGCTGTTTTGGGGGGTTTAAGACCTACTCTTAGTGTAATAAATTTTGAAATTTTTCAATCTTGTTTATATATTTATAGCAAAAAAATAATATAGCAAAAAAATCTCTCATTTTATTTTTCTCATTTTCATTTTCTCATTTTATAGATATATTTTATGTGATTATTACATATAATGCCTGCAAACTCAACATATGCTAAAGAAGTTTACACTTACAGAAGTTTGTATATAACGCTATACAAATGGAATTAAAAAGATCTTAAACCACTAAAACATAGTCATGAAAAAAGTTCATTCTTATGATTATTGATAAAAAACTAAAGAATAATATTAAATGCTAATCTAAAAGTTAAGCCAAAATTTTGGCTTAAAATTACCTTACCGTATCAATGAACCTCTTACAACTTTGAGACTTTCATAATTTTCTTTGAAAAAGTCAATCAGCTGATGTTTTTCATCTCTTTTCCTAAAATTATACTTCCTATGTATCTTTTGGATTCACACAGGCATGAAAGCTTTTATTTCTTTTTTCCAGTTCCAACTTAAACCTCATTCTACCCCATGATTTCCTCTTTCTTTTGCAGCCATATTTCCAATTATAATAACTTTTTTTTAATTTCAAGATAATCATTTTAAAATGATTAGTTTTCTCATGAAGAAGAATTTCTCTCTATCCAGTTTGGTTCTAGAAAGTTTAGAAAAATCATTGTTGATGTCATTTAAAATTTAAACAATTTATTTCACACATAGGTCTAACTTTATTACCTATTCAAGGATAGCCTCTTCAAGGCTTACCTCTCCATTAGAGAGGTAAGCCTTGAAGAGGCTATCTTTAGTCCAAGGATTACCTATCAAAGGACTACATCTTTACTCAATACTCAATACTCTTATATATAAATGCTCTTTAAACTATATATGAAGTCCTTAACTAAAACTTTTTTTCTTGCCTACTGGAAAATGGCTGTTTCTTGCTGCTGTTTCTTTATTTAAAAACTCTGAAGAGTTATCAAATTTTTTTACTGTTAGTAGCATAGTCAGAATCTTTGAGTAACTTCTAACTTCTTGACTTGATTTGAACAATCTACTTTCTGACAACTAATAGAGATTTCAAAAATCTTATTTTTTTGTTAATTTGTTAATTGTAATAAAAAATTATACTGTGCATAAGATGGAAATGGAGGTGCAAAGACCATTGCTCATAACCTGTCAGAGACTTTCAATGAACTCTGGCATGCTAGTCTTCTATATAATCTCTCTTTATGTGATGAATTCTGGGAAATGAACTATTAAACCTCATCCTACTAATCTTACCTCAAAATTTTCTGGTGAACTATGTCTTAATAAAAACCATTCTTTCAATGAAGTCATATATCCAACCCATTGCAAAGTTAGCACCTTTGAAGGTTGATTTTCTGAAAAATAATTGATATTTTCTCAATCCTGATTCCATTCATTGACTAAATCTTGTATCTATTCTACTCTTTCTTTTTCAGCCAAATTCCAAAAACATGTTGTAAATGTAGTTTGATTTGCTCTAGCTGCTCAACAAAAGTTGAGCAGCTAGAGCTTAATTTTTATAAGTTTGCATAGCATATCAATATGAACAATTCAATCTATAACACATCAGCTCTATAATTCATGGCTTAAAACAAGCTGTCAAAAATTTTGCTGACAAAAATGTAAATAATTCAGTAAATAAGAAAATATTAAATAAATCTTATAAACTTGAAAAACAGAATAAAAAACCAGAAGAACATTAAAAAATGCATTTAAGATAAAGATCAAACATATTAAAACTGATTGTGAATACTGCAATGAATTCTCACTGTAATAATGAGTGAATTTCTATGCAAAAAGGAATATATGTTAATTTAATTAGGAAATTTTGTCATTTATCAAAGAAAGATTTTACCAAAAAAAATAATTTTTTAATCATTAAAGTCTTTGAAAAAAACACAAACCTGATTTATATTGTTATTGTAGACACCATCAATAACAAGAAAACAGAAGAAGAGAGGCCATTCACATTCAATGTGTTCAAATTTACTTAACTCGTGAAGTTCATAATGTAACCGAAATCGATCCTGTTCATAAAAATATCTTAAAAATAAATTTTTAAAAATGAAAGTATAAAAAATATATTTATCTAAATACTTCGTTTTCACAATGGTAGCCGTCTCTAAGAAACCTTTTGCATCCATAGAAACCCTATAAAAGATTCACAGTAATATATATATATATATATATTTATATATATATATATATATATATATATAAATATATATATAAAAAAAAAAAAAAAAAAAAAAAAAAATATATATATATATATATATATATATATATATATATATATATATATATATATATATATATATATATATATATATATATATATATATATATATATATATATATATATATATATATATATATATATATATATATATATATATATATATATATATATATATATATATATATATATATATATATATATATATATATATACATACAAGATATTTTTATTTATTTTTAAAAATAATTTAAAAATTATTGATACTTGTAGCATAGTAATGATTTCTGATTTTGTTGTGTTGATTAAGTTTATATCTTCTACAGCAAATGCAGGAAAGCTAATTATACTGAGTAACGAAGCCCCACATTCCTTATAAATAAGCAAACTTAAATTTCAAAGTTAAATAATAATTAAAATTAAAATTAACTAAATTTATATTAGTTTAAATTAAAGTATATTTAAACCATAAACATAATTTAAAATCTTAAACTTATATATAATTATTATTAAAGATATATTACATTATAACTTTCTTGTAGTTTTACCTTTGATAAAGATTCTCTGGGCAACATGGATTGCAATACTGCCTGCAATGTAGAATCAAAATATATACAATAAATCATTAACATGGATTGCAATACTGCCTGCAATGTAGAATCAAAATATATACAGTAAACCATTAAATTATCTTTTTCTCTGAAATTAGTCTTCATTAATTTAATAAGTAATAAAAAGTTATTTTAATTTCTTTTTTTATTATTTATTTTTCAGCATTTTTGAATAGATAAAAATAAACTATTTAATCATATTTAAAGTTGCTACATATTAAGCCTTTAGTTATATTATTAGTTTCCGCATCCCTACTGATCTTAAATAAACAAATTTTTATGTAATTTTAAAATCTTTAAAAAATGTAATTATAAAGTGCCTCTTTACTAATATAACTACGATATAAATTTTCATAATATACAATAATGTGGCAACTAAACTAAAACATGTAACTAATGATGTAACTAAGAATGTAACTGAGGATTTGACATGCAGAAATTACCATATAAATATGATTATGCTGTTTTTATATATGCTTCTTTTTTCAATTTTAAAAAAATCAACTTGTTTCACCGCTGTGCGGAGAAAAGGATTTATTGTTTTTTATTAAATTAATTAAAAAATAAAGATTTATGGAAAAAATTTTATTATTTAAATGTTACTTTAATAACATCTAAATCACACCTTAAATACAGTCATCTCTTTTATAACCATTATGCTCAATAACCACACCCCAGACACATTAATTACTATTCATTACCCTTTGGTATAAAATTAAACTTGTATTGATAAAATTACTCATAAAACACAAAACACCTCAACCACATCTCATAAACCTTAATCAGACTTTTTATATGAGTATATTAATGTATATAAAATGTGGTAATGATGAAAACCTTCACATGTTAAGAAATGTGGTGAAGACCCTCACATTATAAGAAATGTGGTGAAGAACCCTCACATCATAAGAAATGTGGTGAAGAACCCTCACATCATAACCAAGAGGTACCAAGCTTAATTCCCATCACGTCTCTCTTCATATCACAATTAATAAGTTTCTTTGTTCCTTTGTCTCTCAAGGTTTTCATATTTTTCATATTTTGGAGCTACGAGATTTAAAGCAGGTTTTTGAAAAAAATTAAAATTTTTCTTTTTTAAATGATTCTATAAAACCTGTAGTGAACCTTTGGCTTTGAAGAGGGGAATACAATTAAAGAATACTTTATAAATAAACACTTTAAACATCAATCATATCTCTTTAAACATCAATTGCAATCAAAATTTTTAAATTCATAAAAACTTTGAAGCACCAAACCTTACACCCTTGAATTTGATCAGCTAAAACATGAATAACTGATTCAGGGCTACCACGTGATCCAAAAACATCTAACTCATCCATTGCTTCAAGAGCGGCCTTTAAAAATAAAATTTTCAAACTCATTTTATGTCAAATAATAGAGAAAACAATAAACAATTTCTATTGGCAAAAAATTACCTTAGCCATTCCAACGGAACTAGCATTAAGTTCTGTAACACCTCTATTGGTTTTATCACCGCGTTCCCAAATACCAAAATCCTAAAAATACAAAATAAGGAAGAAACAAAATAAATAAATTGCTGAAAAACACAAAAACAAATAAGAATGTATTTTACAGCACTAACAGGTTAGCTCTGTAGAATACAGTATCACTAAAATCACAAATAAAACCACAGAATCATTAACAATTGCATAATCATTATTAAATCTACTGAAAAAAGCAGCATCACTAATAAATGCAGAAATCACAGAGAAATCAAAAAAAATAAAAACTTGGTCTTTTTTTTACTGGAATTAAGTACGCTGTTTCAATGTAAAACACAAGATTTTGAACAAAATCTACTTCATCCTTTGTATAAACAATCTGAAGACCTGGAACAAAGTGGATAAATAATTTAAATCAAAATTAATAAATTGATCTATCAAAAAAATGATATAGTAAAATAATTATATATATTAAGTACAAAAAGTTTATAAAATATAGTACTATAATTAAGTTCTTTTTTTCTAATGTATGTTTTCAAATGTATGTTTTATTAAATGTTTTAAGTATTAAATAAAGTATTATGTAAAATAAAATAATAACAAAGAATAAATACTAGTAAAGAATAGAGTATAAAACAGGGTTGATTTTAAACCAAATGTTTTAAACCGTGGTTTAAATCAATCTAAAAAAATATAAATTTAAACCAAACTTATTTTTTGTTGAAACTATTAAAACCAATTGGAGAAAAAAATTCTATGTAACAATATTATTACATGTTTAACATCTAACTTCAGATCATATATGGTATCAACATGATGAGTTTAGAATGTCTTCTTGTTTTGTATGACTTTTTGTTTTTTACAGAGTTTTAAGCTTCATCTTTTTTTCAAATGGTATCTAGTGCTAATTTTCTCTATTTATTTATTTTTCTCTCTATTTTGGTTACAAATAAAGTTTTTGTCCAATCAAAAACTTGTTAATATTCCTGTATTAGCAAGTTTTTTGATTTTTTAGAAATGTCCTTAAACACTGCCTTAAACTGGTCAACATACTCCCAAAGTGGTGCCAGACTTTTCGACTTAAGTTCATCATTTGTTCAATGTTGTATTTATAGCGCATTCTGAAACTGAGACGTCGTTTCCTGTCGTTTAAGACTTGAATCGTATATATTAATTGGTTCTATCATTTATTCTATTATTGCATTTTACATTAATATAGTTATTGTAGTGACTTTATATTTGATTAAATATTTAATATTGTATTATATTGCGGGTTCACAACAGTGAGGTTTAATAAACTAAATATGAACCACAAGTTTTCTCTCACTTATAGTGTATGATTCTTTTACAAATTCTTCTAAATGCCTAAATACTCCACCAAATGGATTTGAAAAGTTGATAAAAAGTTAGTCATTTTTACACTTATTTAATAGTTATATCTATATATTATACATACATGCATAGATATAACTATTAAAGGTTTATTTATGATACATTTTAAGATATGACAATTCTTTTATCATATTAGATTATATTTTTTCTAAATATTAGACTACAGAAATATAAAGAGACAACTTTTCAAGCTGCCAATGTATTGTAAATAAGGTTTTTCAAACAAGCGCTTGTTTCAGTACAAGTTAATACAAAAACAACTTGAAATAATGACTGATAAGTACAATAAGTGCAACCATATAACTGGCAAAAAAAATCCTGTAAGAGAAAAATCCCTACCATAACTGTAAAGCTTACTAAAATTTAAATTTAGAACTACACCAACCAGCATTCTGTGTATGTGACATCTGATATTGGCTGATATGGAAGAACATACAAGAGAGTTGCTGCTCCATTGACTGAGGGTTTGGGTGGGGGAAGCAATAAGCTTTATTCATTATTCTGGATACACCAAAATGTGCAATGCAATAAAATCTTATCTCTAGAAAGTTTTAAACACTCCAGAGTTTTCATTACACACTCAATTAAGAGAAAGACACATTAGGTTTTACACAAAAACATGATGTTGACACCAATGTAATTAAAAATCAAGGAATTACATGTAAAAAAATTATATATTGTTTTTTTTCTAGAAAGGCTCTAGAATTGAATAAGCTTGTTTTTTGTTTTTTTAATGTTTTGTAAATAAAATAACCTAATATCATACTTTGCGCTAAACTTTTTAAATAAATTTTTATTGCTGCTAACTTAATCAGTAGCAATAATCAAACTTAAAAGTTCAACATGTACATATGTTTATCTCTAAACTAATTGTGTTTATCTCCAAACTAAATATGTTTATCTCTAAACGACATATGTTTATCTCTAAAATACATGTGTTTATCTCTAAACTGCATATGTTTATCTCTAAACTAAATATGTTTACCTCCAAACTGCAAATGTTTACCTTCATCTGTACATATGCTTATCTCCAAAAACTATTTTAAAACTTGAAATAAGTTTTGAATTCTCAGAACTTCAGAAAAAAACTCGAAACAAGTGTTCTACCACTATCACATTTTAATAAACCATGTTGTCATGTAAACCATGTTGTCATGTAAACCATGTAAATAGATTATGTTTGTCATGTAAACTATGTAAATAGATTATGTCTGTCATGTAAACCATGTAAACAGATTATGTTTGTCATGTAAATCATGTAAATAGATTATGTTTGTCATGTAAACCACGTAAATATTATGTTAAATGTGTTGATAAACTTTTTTGATAAGCTATGTAAATAGATTATGTTTGTCGTGTTAATGTTATGTTAAATGTGTTGATAAACTTTTTTGATGAGCCATGTAAATAGATTATGTTTGTCATGTTAACATTATGTTAAATGTGTTGACAGAGCCGTGCTGTAACTTTTTGGGGCCCTGTGCTGTAACTTTTTGGAGTAAATTTTTTCAACTTCATTGAATTTATTTTTATTGGGTTTTCTTTCTTAAAAAAAAGTTATACAAAGAAATTATAAATCAATTTTCCTAGCCCTTTTGTTTGCAAATTCATTAATTATATCATTGTAATCAATAGTTCTGGCGGTTGCATTTTCAATCGACAGTATTGCTAACCTTGAAAGTCTTTCCTTTGACATTAAAGAACGCAATTATTTCTAAATTAACTTTAGTTTTGAAAATGATTGTTCACAATAGGCAATATAATATAAAGGTTGTTATTAATTTATATTTAATTAAATGATTTTAATTTAATTAAAATAACCTTAAAATATTTATGGTTTTTACTTTTTTAGATTAGTTTTTGTTTGTATTCAACAAACATTTCATTACATTCAGTATTAAAAATACATTCAATAATTATATTGAAAAATAAATTTTTGGAGGTATCTAACAGACTCAAAAATAACAAACTAAAATTTTTTTAGCAAGAATTTTAACACTTATACATTACATACAAATTATTATTTCAAACTAAATAATAAAATAATAATAAATAATTGAATAAAAATCATAATACCAATAAAAATAAATTAATTTAAGAATATTTTCTATCGACAGTATATTACTCTATCCCATAATGATGAATAACTCATTTAGATATTCTTAAGATAGCTAAAGTAACACCAACACATAAAAAAGGTTCTCTTCTGTGTTATATAGTGTTATGAAAGAACTTTGCTATTTTTGTTGCAGTAAATTTGTTGTTTTTTCTGCAAAATTTTGCTATCTTGTAAATTTAAGTTAAATCACCCCTTGTTTACATACTGTTATATATTGGGTATTGATACAAAAAATAATAATTTTGGAAAATTGATATAAATTTTTAGGGTGTAAAAAAAATATATAATTTAAAGACATGCTTATAATCAACAATTTTCTTGAATAGTTAATAAACCAAGTCCATCTGCAGTCATTCTGGCTCCCAACCAATTTTCACAGAAAGGCTGCGTTAACATTCTATATTGTTGAAATTATTCTTTAAAATTATTAAAATTACTTGTGAGGATTTGGATATAATTTTTCCAAATTCCATTCTAAAATAAATTCCAAGTTCTCTATAATAGTATAAATATCTTCTAAAATATATCTTAAAATAGAAAGTTCATTTTTGAATTCATCCTCTTCAACATTTTTTTCTAAGTGTTTGACCAGATTTGAACAATTAGTATTAAATTCATTTGTATTCATATCGAATAGAAAACCGAAAACTTCATTTAAAAAACTATACGATTTAAATTGTTCCTACAATGAATCTTAATAAACTTTATTGATTAATTTATTAAAGGAAGATTGTTTAAAATTATCTTCAGCCGTTTAAGTCAGATGGTTAAACTCATCATCAATTTCAAAAACGAAATCTTGTATATCAATACCACCACAGTATTTTATTGGATCAATTTCATCATCAATTGGTTCAATTTCTTCATTTGGTATATCATTAATATTGTAATATTCTTCATTTGGTATATCATTAATATTGTAATATTCTTCATTTGGTATATCATTAATATTGTAATATTTCTCATTTATTTTTATTATCTGTATAATAACAGTAGCCTGCCCATCTCTTGAGGTTTTCATTTTGGTAAACTAAGTTTTGGTGGTTTATCAAGACAACCTTTGCTTCTACTTGTTAATATTTGAGTAAGAAAACTGTTCAGTGAACTGTGCTATAACATTTGTATCTACCGATGCTTCTTGTGCTTCTTTTATAATCTGTTCAAAATTGTTTTTGAAATCATCAAGACATAACAGCATAGCCTTTGTATGTTATAATGCAATATCAATTGCCATATTTTTTCGCTGAAGCAATTGGCTAAAAATGTAAAGCTTTGATAACAAGTGACACTAAATTGCTGTGAGCACAACAAATTCATAAGAGTTTATTTGTTTTATTAGAAACTCAGAGTTTTACAATCTGGGTGGCTATTTTTAAGTTCATCTAGTGCAAGACTTATTTCTTTTATCTAGTATTTCACGGCTTTTATATATTTTGAAAGCGATATTCCCATGGAGTATTGCTTGGTGTCTTCAGATTAATTTCTAAATATTTTACATGAATAGCCCATCGTTTTGTTGATGTAGCAAAGATCTTATATAAATTGTTTAATGTAGTGATATAATTTCTACTTTTAATAGTGTTTTTAACACTATCATTTATAACTAAATTGATGTTATGTCCATCACAAGGCCTATACCATGCTTTGTTGTTGACATCTAAATATCGACTTTTCACTCCCTTATAATCTCCTTTCATATTGCTTGCGTAGTCATACGACTGACCTCAGCAATCAGCAATCTTGATTCCTAATATTTCTAATTTCTAATTCAATAAGAACGTTTGCAAAATTTTCTCAAAGCTTAAGAAACTTTCTTGAACACTTGGCTTTTGCTCTGCTATTTTAACATACCGAATAATGATGGACAACTAGTCTT